CCAGAAGCAACATCAGCATGAAATATGCTGCCACCAGTAGGTTTTTAAATAGTATGAAAAAGCAAAAGAGAGACATATCCCTGACTATCTTTTCAATAGTTTAACATCACAACTCGTTTCCTCTCTCACAGAAGGGCCAGTCTGCAGTACTGTACTGATCTTGCCTGGAACAGCACTATGTTAACTAGCCTTAGCCAAGCCCTGCTTGCATGCATTTCCAGTCTTGGGATACTTAACACGTGAAACAGCAAACGATTAAGAAAGTGCAAGGCAACCATAACATCTTTGTAGCATGCAGTTCAGTCCCAGTTGCTGCAAGGACACTTATGCAACATTACCTCAGAATACAACAGGTGATCACACAAACAAACATAAAGCCATTTTTTATATTTTCTCCACTAATAAATAAGGTATCAGACTTTAGGTCACCTTCTACTAGCCACAGAGAAGGAAAAAGAGTTAAAGAAATACACACACAAGGCAGAAGATAAGCTTTTTTGTATTATAGGGCAGTCTACAGGACATACTATGTATTATGGTAAAGAAAGACTACTTTTTTGTAAAGCAGTTTGTAAAAATCTAGTTTTTGGTAGGACTCAGATTAGTCTGACAATAGTAAACCATTCATGAACTCCAGGTTTGACCGCTACAGTTTTACCTTGCTACAAAATCAAGTCCCAAGGGACAATGCTACATCACCAATAATGCAGCACCCTACCTATTCACCAAGACAGGTTAGAGAATGACCCAGCTGAAGGCCACTGAGCTGATTTTAAAGACTCCCTTACTATTGAGACTAAATACGTACACATCTGTCTTCAGACAGCAAATTCGTATGATCTTAGCCCATTAGAAGGGCAAAAAAAGAGAAGGCAGACACTCTTGAGACAGAACTTTCAACGATAATTGTACAAAGATGTATTCAGACATCAAAACAAATGTTCATCTGTTCTCTTTGCTGCACTCACAACTACCACCTCTTCAAGGCCCTTGTAGAAAAAATACTGACAATGCACCTTTGACTTTAACCCAAGAATAACTACTAAGATTGATATTTTAGAATAGCTGAAAGGCTCTGTATATGTTTAAATACTGCTTAGTTAGAAAGAAAAGGATATAGTCGAAGCAAATACCATACAAGTATATACCAGCATTTACATTTAAAGAAAATACACACACAATAAAAGAAGTCAGAGGACCTTCAGAAAGTAGTTGCCACTCATTCCTCTAAATGGAGCTCTCTCTGTACAATTAGAATATTAGATCAAAAAATTTAAATGCTAAGTAACATCAACTAAACTGACAGTCTTGTTTTGCACTAAAGGACTCATTGATACTGTGTAGCAACACAGCAACAGTAGGCTAGATGCTGATTTAAGCTATGATATGACTCCTTCCATGCACGTAAAACCTACAGCAGCCTTGAAATTCCTTTAATTTGCACCAGCATAGACTATGCCTTAAGGATTCTGCACCAAGTGGGAATACCAAAAGTCCACCCAGTACCAAGAATACTAAGAAGCAATATTCTGAAGCTGCTTTTTTTTATTTTATTAGTCAATTTTTAAAGCTTTGAATGGAGCCAGTCCTCAGGGTTCCATTCACTGTATAAGATCCTTCTCAAGCAATTGCTTAAAATTAACCTCTGTTTTTCTTCATCCTAAAAGGAGACACCAAACAGGAATAGCGCACTTACTCTACCATATACTGTGTTTTCACTTCTTCCCTCAAATTTTGTCTGTCTCACATCACCAGTATCTTAAACAGAAAGCAAGTATTTGTCAAATAGCTTAACTTTAAGATAATCATCCACATAAAGCAAGCTTTATGGGAAAGAATGGGCAATTCTACTCAGCATAAAACTAAGCAGCAATAGATCCAGAACAAGTTTCTGCATAAGCACTAATGTGCATTGTCAATTGCACAATTTAGAGTTTGTAATTCTAACACAGATACCTCAACAGACTACTTAAAGAAGTTTCAAATTACTGATACCATCATTTACATTGCCTTCCACCCTCTTGTTTAATGTTGTCAAATTGCATTAAACTGGCGCTATAAACTAGCAGCACATAAGAAACAAATAAATCTAAATTCCCAAAACATCTAGAAAGGAAAAACAGTATTTTCCATGTTACTTAATGTTAAGTAGTTTATTGAGAGGCTTCATACTTCCTAAGTGTCACCAAACCACTGTTGGCTAAAAATTGCCAGTTAAAACATAGATATTTACTACACAGCAAACACTTAGCCAATGTATTACCTCAGACTGCACTTATATTACTTCCCACATTAGCAGAATGAACCAATGGCATGTTCATAGATTCATTCCTCTTTCGTTCCTACTTTTAGTTGTTTGACCATTAGCACAACACCTTCTGAATGGTGTGAAAAAAGAAAAAGTTAAGTTTCTCCTAACAGCCCTAACATCCCAGACCTCTGGAGATTTCTTTTTTAATCACTACATCCTGGAACATATTTGGCAATCAACACTGTACTGCGCATTAAGTACTGCCTTTTGATATCTGGAATATTTGGTTCAATGTACTTATCTCATTCAAATCAAAGTTGGGCAGAGATTGTGGTGTTGGGTTGTCAGTCCATTTTCCTGTATCCTAAATTTAAAAAGATTTTCCAAAATGCTTTGGATTAAGAATCTAGCTCTTTGTAGCCCAAAGAAAATTTACATCAAAGTGGAAGCACATTGGACTTCCACTTAATACAACATATAATGAATGTTTAAAAATAGCTTGACAGCAACTCTTAGGGCTTACTAAATCAAAAACACGCTTACCTCAAATTCAGCACTTGCAACAGTCACCTTCATAAATTACAACCTTATACAGAGGAGTGTGTAAGCTAGCCTAGTTTACTTACAATACACCCAGCACATCAAGAGGAAATTAACGCTAGCTGAACTGAATGAGTTTTTAGGTTTATGTACATCTATAAATAACAGCACCAAAACAGACTCATGAAGCTGCTTTAAGAGGTCATCCATTTACTACTCTAAACTACTTGGTGGAAAAATTGTTGGATTGGGTATGCCTGTTTCAATAACCACCATCATTTTTAGCTGTTCTTCTTCACCTACCTTCAGACGTTTTCCAACGTTTCCACAGATCCTCAATGGTGATATGTTTGTCTTCTCTGTGCAGGTGACTATGTTTATTAGAGGCATCTTTGTATTTCATATCTTCCCTTAGAAACTGAAGGAAAGGGAAAACATTATTTTAAGTGCCAAAAAAACAACTTCTATACAGGCACTACAACGAAATCAGGCAGAGGAGAAACTTTACTATTCTCTTTCCCATGCAAGCAGCACACAATTTCTGTAAGTTGACTACATCAAAGACTAAGAAAGCAAATTAAACACCTTTAAGAAATTGATTTTCACAATTATTGCATCCTAGAAAAACTGAAAGTGCAGTTGCTAGAATACTAGGTTTAACCACATTATTAGTATGCCTTATGTTTACAGTTATTACAAGACTGCACCACACACGTCATACTGCATACTTCTCCATTCTGAACACATTTAACGAACTTCACCTACTTGAAGATAAGACCATGTAAGATTTGAAAACATGCCAGTCCTTTATGGATGAGTAACACCTGAATCCTGCTATACCAATTAAATGTAACTGCTTGAGGGATAAGAAAAAGGTGTTGACTAAGTATTACTACAGACTTTTGATTAGACAACAAAAATTTGGCTTCCATTTCAAAGTGAAAAACACAAGTCATCTTAGGGCCAATTTTCTTCTTGCTAATCATTCCTCAGTGGTTACACTTCAAGCATAGAAGAAATACATAAAGCTGTCTCATTCTCACTAATTAATAGGAAGCCAATGTCAAAATACCACGCTTTGCCTTTGAGTAAACATGATAAAAAGGAAGATCCTTCAATCACGTCATACATAGCAGTGTTGTATCAGTATTTCCCAAGTCACTACAAAAGGGTTCTCCAAATACATACGTGAAAAAAAAATAAAATGGGTTCCATGCTTTTATTTCACATAGGCCTAGAAAAGTTGGAATACTGGTTAGCAAACCACCTCCCATTAATCATGGAAACCTTCCATAGATATCACTCCCTAAAAGCACAGCATGAACAGCCTCTCTGGGTGGAGACCTCAGAATTAGTTCTCATGTTAGTTTTCTGATACTAAGTAATCTTCCACAGTAGATTGCTTGCTTGCTTCAGTTCCTGAAGCATAAAGCTGCTCAAAACCAGCTATTGATAGTCATGACAGCTAATTCAAAAGTCAGCTTTTTATGTGGCTGGTCATATATCACCACTTCAAGCAGAGGCAAGGAAGAAGGCCAAGCTAGTGATACACTGCAGAAGACCCCTGGTCTTAAAATTTAGTCCTGGTAATAACTTATCTGCAGAGCTTCCCACATAGGCCCTATTTCTAACAAATCTACAGAGTATGTCACTCAAGAAACGGCACAAGAGACTGAAAAGTAGTCAATATTGAACTGTAATATTAACTCTTAATAAAAACAGACAGTGTACAATAGCAGAAATATGCAAGAAAAAGCTAACACTCATCAAGTATAAGGCTTCATATACCTGAAGGGTTCAAGTATATGAGTAACAAAAGGAAGACTAGGGAAAATGTGGGCCCACAGTTGAATGAGGTGTGTGCACTGGTGATGGAGCATACAGAGGAGATGGAGTTACTGAATGCCTTCTTTCCTTCAGTCTTTACTGCTAAGGCAGGTCCTTAGGAATCTCAGACCCTGGAGGTAAGAGAGGAAGCCTGGAGAAAGGAAGACTTTGTCTTGGTCGAGGAGGATTGGGTTAGAGATCATTTAGGCAAACTGGACACCCACAAATCCATGGGCCCCAAAGGGATGCACCCATGAGTGCTGAGGGAGCTGGTAGATGTTATTGCTGAGCCACTCACCAAAGGTCATGGAGAACAGGAGAGGTGCCTGAGGACTGGAGGAAAGCCAGTGTCACTCCAGTCTTCAAAAAGGGCAAGAAGGAGGGCCCAGGAAACCGCAGGCCAGTCAACCTCACCTCCATCCCTGGAAAAGTGATGGAACAATGCATTCCAGAGGTTATGTCTAAGCATGTGGAGGAAAAGAAGGTTATCAGAAGCAGTCAACATGGATTCATCAAGGGGAAATCATGCTTGACCAATCTGATAGCCTTCTACAACAGCATAACTGGCTGGGTAGATGAGGGGAGAGCAGTGGATGTTGTCTACCTTGACTTCAGCAAGGCTTTTGACACTGTCTCCCACAACATCCTCACAGGTAAGGTCAGGAAGTGTGGGTTAGATGAGTGGACAGGGAGGTGGATTGAGAACTGGCTGAATGGCAGAGCCCAGAGGGTTGTGATCAGTGGCGCAGAGTCTGGATGGAGGCCTGTAGCTAGCGGTGCCCCCCAGGGGTCAGTTCTGGGTCTC